ACAGATTTGAAATTTGCTCTGTCGGTGCTGGAGAACACGGGCACAACACCCCTGCCACCAGCGGTGCTTCAACGAATGAGGCAGCACCAGTACCACAATAGTGCCCGACTGCACAAATTGCTGCACTTCATTGAGGTATTTTTATGCGTTTTTGCATATATATAAATTGCGAAAACGCATACTGGGAATAGGCTATGTGTGTATGTATGTGTGTGTATGTCTGTATGTCCGCACTTTTTGTCACCCATTTTCAACTCGAGAATCAGAAAAGCTAGAAAGCTGAAACTTCGGGAGTATTTGCCCATACCATACACAACCCTCCCGTTTTAATTTCACCCCCCTCGAATGCCTGGGTGTCGCGTACGGACGCTTTGGAAAAATATGCAAATTTTTTGGCGGGAAAGCGATCTCGGAAACCACATGAGTTAAAGGGCTGAAACTTTGTAGCGATATTCTCTGCGCATGTACTAGCTAAAGATTTCAAATTCAGCCCCCAGGTAAGCATGGTACTTACGTAAGGGCGTGTGAAAGTTCCAGGGGGAAAACCGCTAACTCGCGTACCAGGAAAGTTAGAAAGCTGAAATCTTGGGGGAATGTTCCCTATCGAAGTACAATTCTGATATTTCAAATTCAGGCCCAAGCTATGCGTAGTACTCACGTAAGGAGGTATGAAAGTTTCTGCAGGAAAATTACTAACTCAGAACCAGAAGAGCTGAAAGGCTGAAATTTTAGGTGGATCTTCCCTGTCCAAGTGCAATTTAAAAATTTCAAATCTAGCTTTTCAAGCACGTGGAGCACACAAGCACGGGTATGTGAAGGTTTTGGCGGAAAAATTGCTAACTCGGTAATCAGAAAAGTTGGAAAGCTGAAATTTTGAGAGAATGTTTCTTATCCAAGTATAACTTAAGTATTTCAAATTTAGCCTTGAGGTATGCGTTGTTCTTACGCATGGGCATTTAAAAGCCTTGGCGAGAAAATTTCTCAGTGAACAACTAGGTTTCTTTTAAAGAACGAGTATTAAATGGAAACTGTACATTTACTTTGCAAAATTTATGGTGATTTATGCTAGTGACCGCAAAAGGTAGGTGTAAAGCAACGGCCATTCATACAGTTAATGACCTGAGTAATTCAAGTCCGGTTCAAAAACGCATGATCGTACAAGCCCGCCCGGTGCGTTCCAGCGTGGGTTTTTTTCGGTGCTCAGTATGCATAAGATCCAGAAGATATCGGTAACCACACTGCAACCTACGCGAAACACGCATCCTTAGTCTTCAAATGACCCAAACGGTATGATTCTTCTACTTACAGAGCAGTAAATGGCCCTTCCTTCGAAGGTTATCTAAGAAAAAAAAAAAAACTAGAACCGGCTGATTTTGATATACAACGCACTCTCTCGCAATAAAAAAGCAAATCAATGGATCGTGAAGGAACTGTCTACAAACCATCGACCTGACATAGACTTCTTTAGAAATTAACCATTCTAGACAATTCTTTTAATTCGTAACAAACAACAATCACTACTGTTCTACGCCTGGTTTGTAGAAAGCTAGCCAAATACCACCTGAGTCTCACAAAGTGATCAGCTGAGGATCGCCTGGGTTTCTGGAAGGATATACCTAGCAGGTATGACATCAATTTGTCACTATAATGAATCCAAACAATTTTTATCGGATTTTTCCACTACTATATTCACTTCCACCCACAAGCATTATGTTGAGGCTGGGGAACGTCACAAAGTAATTTCACTAAAGAAGCTGTTAGAGAAATTTCGTTTTTCCAGAAATGTAACGAGTCAATTAATAATCGACAAAATCGACATATCAAGTTAAAAACGTCTGGTATGTTTTTTCATTCTCGAGGATACCGCTTGAAAAATTAAAAACATATTAAGCTGAGAATTATGAAAATGCGAGTTCTTATGAATTAAAGTGGAGGAAGAAGGTGCCGGAATTATGAATAATTGAACAGTTAAGAATTACCAACAGCTAAGACTTAAACCCAAGCTGCGACGCATCAAACTTGCCGGTGCTATCGTGCGTTTTTGCGCTAATCATAAAGCACTCTGAATTTTAACAGCGTGAATAGTCGCTGAGATTAAATTGAATAACGTAGCATATATATATATGTATATATATATATATATATACATATACATATATATATTCATTGCATGCCTCTCGACAATATACGTTATTGTTCGCTATAGCAACGCTGTAGCCCTGCAAGCAAAAACGCATAATAAATACAACCGAATTCACAGATCAAAAGCGCTTTTTAT